TTACACCAAAGTTAGGAGCAGGTTCCAAACCAGCCTTCTGGATTCTAATCCCTAGCTCTTCCAATCCATCATGCATTATTTTTACTGGGTTAATCTTGAACATTGCTTTCATGATATTACTACAATGTACCAACTTTTTAATGGCTCACCATTTTCTGTCTCAGAATCCAAACTTCTGTCCTACCTACTCGGGCCTCACTCTATGCCCACTCTTCCTCAGAGCATCTTCTGGGCATTTCTTCCTTTCTTCTCCATAGTGGTGAGCATGCCACGCTCACTTCTGCCTCGTGATTTCACATACTACTCCTCTTGATAGGCCCAACTCCATTCTTCAGATCCAGTTAGATTTAGCTTCTTCATAAAGACGTTCTATGACTTCCCTGATGACCTTCTTTTGGAGGTTAGGTTATCATAGTCCTCCTAGTGGGTTTGTACTTCATGGTTTAGATGTTACAGTGATAGTTTTTCTCCCTTCTGACTTTTTTTTAATGAATCATTTCTTTAAATACTTGTACATAAATATTAATGGATGAAAAAGGCAAAAGATGGAAAAATCATGTGCTCATTGACCATTTGCATATCTTCTTTGGAGAACTGCCTCTTCAGATTATTTGCTCATTTAATCACGTCTTATTGTTGATTTATAATAGCTTTATATATTCTAGATATAAGTCCCTTAAAAGATATATGATTTACAAATATTTTTTCCCATTCTGTGGGTTATTTTTTCACATTTTTCATTGTCTTTTGAAATTTAGGTATTTTTTGTTTTGATAAAATTGAATTTAGTTTTTCTTTTGTTGCTTTTGCTTTGATGTCTTATCTAAGAAGCTATTGCCTAATCCAAGGTTACAAAGATTTACTCCTGTATTTTCTTCTGAGAATTTTAGAGTTTAGATCTTAAATTTAGGTCTGTAATCCATTTTGAGTTAACTTTTGTATTCAGTGTAAGGTAGGGGCCTAATTTATTCTTTTTGCACGTGGATATCCTTTATGATGTTTTAAATATAAGCCTCCTACATCAGATAGATGTTCCTTTAAGACCTTGTGTCGTGTTATACATCTACATGTCTGCCTCTGTGCCCTGCACTGTACTAAGCACACAATTAGCTACCTTGTTTGTGTGAGCCTATGTGTGAACCCTTCATATTTTTGTCAGGGACAGACTATCTCACAAGATGACATGATGTTCAAAATTAAATCAAAGAAAAGAGTTTTTAAAGTATCCCCCAGCGTGGTTTCCTGCAAAAAATTTTCTGTACTCTGGAGCGGCAAATACAAGCAGCACATTTCTTTCCCCTCGAAATAGATTTCATTGCTATCCCAGAGTCCTTCTTTAGGTCTGTGTCGAAACATCCCCACCCCCAGCAAATCTGCCCTGTTTCTAGGTTTGCCAGTCCTTTTCTTGCCATTTGCAGTGACTACCACTTCTATAAAAACAGTGGCCCCTGCAACTTTCCTTCCCATTCTTCACACTCCATGCCCCTTGATTTCTACCTCCTTAGTAGCTTTACCAGTATGTTCCATTTTTGGCAATCCCTGGGACAAAGAATTCTGCTCACCTGGTATTTGACAGGAATAATTCATTACATTTCATCTTGCTGGCCTCATATGGTGGTTTTAAGTGCATTTTTAAGCCACCCGTACCCATTCACACAAACCTTATTTTTTCCTATCACCCAACATCTCTTTCTTTCAAACCCAGTGGGTATATTTTGTATTAACCTTTTAGAAATATAAAAGCGCAGTTTAGGTAGGCTCAGAGAAAAAGCTGAAGTCAACCTGTGGATTACCCAGCCCAAGGGCTGCATTTGACGGCAGATCTGTGAGGTATCATTTGGTCTAAATCTAAGACCAGTGCTTGGTACCTTATTTGGATATTGCTGCTTTCAGTGCTTGGGCTGTTCTTCCAAACACTGGAGTTCTCGGCTACTTTTCAGCATGATGTCAGTACCACAAGTATTGCATTGTCTTCGAGGTTCTAGTGGGGGATTTCAGATAAGATTCCACATCTGAATATACTGAAAAACATTAGGTAGAAGTAAACATTTAAGAAATGCACTTGAAAGCCAATCACTTGATAAACAGGAAAAAAAAAATCCGTTTCAGCAATTGGAGTCTGACTCCCCTTTCATCTTCAAAACAAGCGCCAGCTTGAAATACTCAAAAAGAAGCCTGAAGGGACCAGCTGCACCCATCCTAATCTAATTATTCCTCCAATGGTACTTAACAGAGGGTCACTGCCTTCCCGGGCGCTATACTGCTCAAACATAAACTGCTGATTTTCTAAAGATAGGAAAGTCCCTTGTCACGCTAGAACTAAGCTATTTCAAATGTTGAGAACTGGGGCTGTTATTTACAATATTAACCATCCCCCTCTGTCGCTAAATGTAGGGAACATACAAGAAGTGCGCAGTAGTCAGTGCAGTAGGCACTGTGGTGGGAGGTTGTTCAGAAAGTACTCACTGGAAAGTGAGAAAAGAACTAGAATGTGGAAACTGAGTGTTAAAAGGGTTTCTGAGACATGACAGTTAGCTTTGACAAATTTGTGTGAAGGAAGGGGAATATTCAGAAAGGACATGGATATTTTTGGTTCTATAGAGTCATATTTGAGAAGCAGGAGTTATTCGGAGCTTACTGGAACACTTGCAAAGGTCATTAAGGTACAATGCTCATTCCTGGCTCCATTTTAAATCTCTGTTCTTCCCTTTCCCGCCTCCCCCTGCCCCTAATTTTGTGCCACTTATAATGTATGCTATCTCATAGCCTATGCATCCTTATAAATTGCCACAAATCTTTTTGAGACAAGATGTGGAAATAACAAACACATAAAATTTAAAAGCCAGGATTTCCCTAGTAATGAGATTTCTCCCTGACCTACTGTTTCTTTGACATTTGTATTGATTGGGTACCAGCATGTTTTCCATTTTCTTTGTTTCAAGCTATTTGTAAATTTGTGGGCAATGCAAAGAATTTAAGTCCCTGCTCTCAAAGAATTCATGTTTTATTTGGGGGATATTAAGAAACTTTGACAAAAGGAAACCCCTGAAAATCCTGCCACGGAGTCCAGCAGCTTCTCCATCAGCTCTGTCCATCATTGTGAATGTGATGGCATGCATAGAGAAATTGAGATGCTGGATGAAATTTAAGGTGGTGACAGAAGAGTCCTGAATGCAAAGCTTTGGAGGAAAATGAAGAAGGAAAAAAATCTCCCATGATCTTAACACCAGGACAGCTTCTTATCATTTTAGTGTATTTCCTTCCAGTCTTTTCTCTCTGAATATTTGAGGATAAGCTTGTGATGTTACAGCCACATGTACAGTTTTGAACAGCTTTTTACCCTAACAAGCAATTCCCTATTTTATTAAGATCGTTTTCCTATATATTTTCAGCATCATAATTTACACAAATATTCCCTCCCCTCTGGACATTCATACTGCTTCCAAGAGAACTATCTGGAACCTCCATGAGTAGAAATAACTGGAGAGTGGAGAGACGACAGACTTGAGGCATCAGTTTCTCCATGATGACTAGCTGAAAATACTGTAGTGGTTTTCCCTATTTTTTGTGCCAGACCTCTGGCATCTGAATTTCGCTGCTTTCCTTTCACTCTTTTACGGGTCCCACCCCTTTCTTGAGGCCTCTAACCTCGTTTCCCAACTGCATTGATGAACTAAGGTTTATTTGCCCAGTTAGGTTCCTTTTCAAAGTAATTGACACAGTTCAAGAATACTGAGACTTTAAAAACTGGGGTCTTTTATGGGACCTGAGATATCTGAGCCTTTCTGACCCAAACTTTTTGAGTCATGTGTTTGCCAGCGAGGCAGGTTCCCTGGCTAGCTGTTTCTGAATTGAGTGCAACAGTAAATGGGTGAAGTGGAAATGAGGTGGAAAGCAGGAGGACCATTTCCATCACTAGTTAGTCTCAACAGGTACAGTTCCTTAGTTCTCGGTACCTGTTGGCACCATTCCAGAGCTATTAAAATTCTTTCAAGGTGTGGCTGAGGGTGGGGTAAAGGATGTTTAGCCATCTGAAAGCCTTAGTAGACTGTTAGTTCTAAGTTGCATATAAAAATACACAAAGAACTGGAGCGGCTGAAGAAACAGTTTCTGAGTAAAACTCATTGCACTGGATTTCCCCCGCCCCAAACAAGAGCATCATAGGGTGTATTTGACTTGCTTCTGGTTGAGAGCTTCCGAACGGGTTAAGAGCGCAAGCAAACTCTTGGGAGTCCAGTAGGAGTTGCTGGTTGTGCCGGACATTGCTTACAAAGCAATTTTTGTGGTTCGCCTCCCTCTGGGTTTTTTCATTCTTTTGTGGGATGTTCATGGAGCTGCCCTGGGCATTTACTTTCTAAAGTTTTTACGTCCCAAACCCCTCTCTCCAGCTCCCGCAGTGTGGCACCTCTTCCCGCCCCGAGACTTCTGGACTTGCTCCAGGCGTGGGGAGAGGGCGGGGGACTTTGTTCCCTGAAAACGACCTTGCGCTGGGAATTTCCTGTGGCCGTTTCTCACGGACAAGCCCCCTTCTCCCGCGGGAAGCACAGACACCCGCGACGCGCTCCCGCAAAGTCGAAGACCCGACCACAAAACGCAGCGCCCCGCGGCCCACCCGCGCCCCCGCGGGAGGCCGCCCGCCATCCCCTCGCTCCCCTCGCTCCCCCTCCTCAGGTCCCGCCGCCGAAAGCCCGGATGTTGGATTCAATCCCTACGCCCGGTCCTTCATTTCCATAAAAGGGCAGCGGCTCGGCGGGGCTGAGATTGCTGCGCCGCGGGCGCCCCCCGCCTCCCCCGCACAGCTCCCACCCCTGCCGCGCGCGCCGCCCCGCCCCCAGCCCGGGAGTGCGCGCGGCCCCCAGCCCGCAGCGCGGCCGCGGGGGGACAGTGAGGGACGTGGGTGAGGCGGCCCGACCCGCTCCGGGCGGCTCGGCGGGGCGGAGGAGGAGGGAGCAGGCGCGCCCTGCCAGAGCCGGACTCTGACTGAGGGGGCGGGGAGAGAGGGGTGGAGCGCTGGGAGAGAGGCGAAGGGGCCGCGACGACAGGACTCCATTAGTCGCTCCAGCCGGGAGGCAGCGCTTCGCCGGCTGAGGAGGGGGACCGGACGCAGCCGCCCCACGAGCCCCGGCCCCCGCGCCTGTTGCGGCGCGAATCCCTGGGCGCGAGCGCGAGGAGCTTGCGGTGAGGGGCCGGGATCCCGGTTGGGACCGGAGGGGGAGCGCGGGCGGAGAGGAGGAATGTGAAGCCCGCGGGCGGCGTCTTCCCGGGCCGGGGTGCGGTCTGCAGGCCGGCAGGTGAAGCCCGCCGCGGTCCGCTAGGCGAGGGCCGCTAGGCTGGGGCCGCGCCGGGCGGACGGGCGGCGCCGTGTTCGCCGAGGGCTGCCGCAGGCAGGGGAGTGCTGGGCGGCCGCCGGGAAGGGCGCGGGGAGCAGAATCCCGCACCGCCGCTGCTCTCCCGAGTTCGTGCGGAAACCCTCGGGTCCTCCACCTTCTCCCGCTCCGCGGTCGACTGCGAATACGGTGGGATTTGCCTGCCTTTGGGGGAGTGACGCTTACGAGAGCCATTTCCTCCGTGCTCGCAGGAAGGAGCCATGGCTCTGGACGGGATAAGGATGCCAGATGGCTGCTACGCGGATGGGACGTGGGAACTGAGTGTTCATGTGACGGACCTGAACCGCGATGTCACCCTAAGAGTGACCGGGGAGGTGCACATTGGAGGGGTGATGCTCAAGTTGGTGGAAAAACTTGGTGAGTAGCATCTCAGCCCTCCAGCCGCGTCTAGATAACGACCTCCAGACTGAGGCGGCGGCTGAGGCCGGGACGTGGGGGGGGGCGGCGGGGGCGGCTTGCGGCTGGGGGAGGGGTGGGTTTTGGAAATCTTGCGTGGCATCCCGCAAATACTTTTCAAAATTGTAAGATCTTTCAGTACTTAAGCAAAAAGACTTTCTCACCTTTGTATCTTGTTTTGCGTTGTTAGTTTGAAATTTTCTTAATGGGGTGATTCCAGTCTCCCAATTAATAAAAATTGCGTAGTTACTGGCGAGAACGCCTTATTTCTTTACATTCAGCGACTTCACGTTAGAAGAAATGAGAAAAGTGCGCGTTTATTTGGGGGGGGAATTACAGGGCTTGTGGTTATCAATTACTTATCTTCAGTGTACCTGAATGTTGGTGACATCTGGTATTGAGGATGATGCAAAAATTTTTTAAAGTATAAATTGCACCGGAAAAGATGCAACTTCTGGCGCCAATATGAAGGTTCTTTAGCTGTGCTACTACGTGATGGAGTGTATTAAAATGTTCCAGTCATCCACTCTTAACGAGGGGTGGGGCAGTGTTTGACTATCTAGTAGTCTGTGCTTTAAATAAGCTATTTCGAGTGTTCAATTGTATATTAAGCTCATGAAAGGATTTTGTGCTAAAAAACAGGCATAATTAAACTAAATCGAGATTCATCGTATTCGCTTGGGTACAAATATATACTGCGTTGATTTAAAACTGACTTAGTTTTAAATAATCGGGTATCCAACCATATGGACTGTAAGAAAATTCTGTAGTACGTATTTTGGTTGTGATGCATTAAATAATTTTCAGCTTTAAGAAATAACTAAAATGATTCTGTAGATGATTTTATCCCAGAAATGCTCAGAGGTGTGTCTTCCTGAGCTTAACATGCCTTTTTTATGTCATGCAGTTCTGGTAAGGTGATGTGTGGCACTTTTTTTTTTTTTTTTTTTTTTTTTGTCTTTTTGAAACAGCATTCATTCTTGAAGCCAGTCTGGAAAAGTAGAGAAGTGTTTGTTTATCAGGAAATGTGTTTCTTAACCAAGGGATTGTTGTATACCTACCATATAAATCTATGGAACTAGTACCCCACTGGTATTTGCAAAATAAGGCAGAATTCATTTAGGTGGATCTTTGTATCTCTACAGGAAGTTTAATTATTGAAGGACCAAAAAGAAGGCCCTTACAAGGTAGACTCTTCCTTAGGGCTGTGCATTGTTTGGCTTTCTGAGACTTGGCCCAGGAAAGCAAGCCCCCCTGGGTAGTCCTTTGAAAATGAGATTTTGCTGTATTGTTTAATCCAATTAACTGATGGTTAACATTGTTCTTACCTGATATGACTACATCAATCACTGTAAAATATCTGTGAATCTTTTTGGCCAGCATTAGTGTGGGATCATTTAAGGAAGAAAATAACATAATTTTTAATGTTTCGTTTGTTTTCAGAGGAAACAAGCATTTGCATCACAAGTTGCTTATATATGATAAATGGACCTTATTAATACACTGGTTTCAATAAGAGATATTTCTTATTGTGAAAAAGGAGCTGTTGAAGGTGACTGAGACAATTTAATAGTTTCTTGAAAGCCAGTCTTTATCTGATGAATAAGTAATGGCTTCTATATTTATATTGCATTGATTAGAACTGTTAATTACAGAATCACAGACATAAATAGAAATATAGAGAATAAACTGTTTGCAGACAGAACTGATGTTAATTTTAAGTGACTGTAATCTGAATCTTTTAATGTTGACACATTTTTAATTTTTTATGCAGTGAAAAGCCCAACAAACTGGGCACGTGGAAAACCTTGCATTTTTCTTGAACTGAATCAGTACTGATCTCTTATATTTTGACTTCCAAATAGAAAGTGCTTTTCATCATTATTCTGACTTCTCTGTTTGGTGCATGTAGAGCTAAATGATTTTTTGCTTCTGGTTTTAGGATTAGATACTTTGAATGGTAAGCTAATTTGTTACCTATTGATAAGTGAAAAGAGGAGAAATTCAGTAGGGTAGCGCTTAAAGTTTACAAACCTGGTTAGTCAAGGGCGCCTGGGTGGCTCAGTTGGTTAAGCGACTGCCTTCGGCTCAGGTCATGATCCTGGAGTCCCGGGATCGAGTCCCGCATCG